AAAAAAAAAAAAAAAGACACCACCTCTATGTGTGGACCACCAAAAATAAGAATACCAGGCCATCCTCAGCCGCATCATGCACACAATCCACAAGAACAAGTACTGCCCAGATTTGTGGATGGAAGCCACCTGCAGAGCCAGCACCATCCTGGCAGCCAGAAAGAAGCTGTGATGGTGAAAAGGAAGCCAACCCACCCCACCAAGAGTGCCTGAACACAACCCCCAAAGTAATAACGATGCCACCAGACTGCTATCTATCTCAATCAATAAGTATAAAAATATCAATGAATAAATACAGTAATTCTCCATATCCAGAGGTTTCACATTGGTGATCCAACCAACCACAAACCAAAAATATTTGGGGGGGAAAGTCCCAGAAAGTTCCAATAAGCAAGCCTTGAATTAACCACACACCAAGCACTATGCTGAATCCCTGTGAATGAAGTGATGTGATAGCAACCCTGCTATATATGCAAACACTGTGTATTTTATACAAGGGACTTGAGCATCAGAGGGGGGTCCTGGAACCAATCCCCCAAGGATACCGAGGGACAACCGTATAAAAGTATCCAAAGTGGGAAGTAAAGTTGAAAAGTATAGGTTGCTTTACATCCCTTTATTCCACCTGGTCATTCTTCACTGGATCATCTCATTTTTAAGGCACAACAACCAAAACTGGATACCCAAGGTTTTAATAACTACAATCAAACAAAGAAGCAAACAAGCAAAAAGGACTTCACAGCTTGCCAGTCATATCCTTTCTATACATCTACTTTACATAGCTACACAACATTGCCCTTTTCCACAGGAAAAATACATTCCTTATTCATGCCTATTTCAGGTTCAACAGCAAACATTTTCTGCTATTATACACCTGACCAGTCTTCCTTGTCTATATCACTGGAGGTTTTATCCTTGAGAATGCCTGAAATTACCCGTTAAAGATCAGTCTGTGATTACACTCTATGTTTCTAACTTACAAGGTTTAATTGGATCTTTTCCCTATCTTACAAAATTAGATTAGCAACCCAATTTAATTTTACCTCAAGTTCAGATGAAAATGTTGACTAGAAGGAATCCAAGACATTATCCTTGCTCTCTTCCCCTGTCCCACCAATTCCCATCTCTCCCACAACAGGGTTCCTCACGGTGCACAATGCTTTGGCACTGAAATTCCTTGGAAACCTGGAGACTCAAATGAAGGCTTAGAATAAAGAAGATAGAGAAATTGTTCTTACCTCCTGCACATTGGCCAGCTCCAGCAGTTCTCCAAAGACATAGACTCCAGGAGCCTCCAAGACTTGGTTTATGAGAGCAGTGAGGGCTGAGCCACTAGTACCTTTGGCTAGTAAAATAAACTGTTCCAGGAGGTTACTTGAGGGTTTCTGTTCACCTGCCATTCTCTGGTCTTAAGATCTGTCCAAAAGAAAGGTGTTTCCATCATTTTTCCTTCTCCTTTGCAAAGTCGATGCTTATTTAATGCTGGATCAGATATCTGAATAATTTTATAGCATTAAAAAAAAACACACAACAGTTACAGAGTCCAGATGCTATGACCACTTAGTGAGATGGGTAGGATTCAACCTGGAGTTAAAGGGATTCTGTCCTTATGCTGAGGTTTGAAACATACTTAGTAAAAGCCACTTTATCCCCATTTGACCCTCTCCCAAAGGCAGCATGTTCTAAACCCTTAAACCTAACCAGGACTTAAAGAAACACACAGGAGTTTTCCAGTACCTGTTTTATATTCACCTTATTTATAGACTCGTTAAGAAAAAGAAAATCCTGCCCATACACAGAGGTGGCAGATGTAAGCAAAAGCAATCAGTTACAGCTTTCAGTGTGTCCTTCGACCCACCTACAGCCAGGTACAGATAAGGAAAAGACCCAAAAACAGACCAAGAAAGATGTCTCATTTAATCAGAAAAGTTATTTAAGCATAGAAAAAAGGGGGAAATCATCTTGAAAGATAAGCAGCAACATATTCAAACTAAGAAAATACATGGTGTGTAAGTCCATGAAAAAAAATCCCTCAATTTGGCCTTCACATATCCTACTTGATATGTGACATTTTACTAAACCTGACTTCAGAATGTGTATGAAACACCCAGAAAACAATGAAGATATTATATTGCCGTCCTGAAGACATTAGGGGCAGGAGAGTCCCTCAACTGCATGGTCCAGGGGTCCTCAAACTTTTTAAACAGGGGGCCAGTTCACTGTCCCTCAGACCGTTGGAGGGCCGGACTATAGTTTAAAAAAAAACTATGAACAAATTCCTATGCACACTGCACATATCTTATTTTGAAGTAAAAAAACAAAACTTCAAAAAAAAAAAGGCTCTCCTAACTTCAAAAAAAAGGCCCAAATAACTGCAAAATAAAAAAAAAAGGCTTCCTAACGTCAAAAAAAAATAAATCCTAACTTAGTCTTATCTCGGTCCTCAGGCAGCAGCAGGCTCTACACAGGCAAGCTCGTGACTCGACCGATCACACCCGAGACTGAGAGGAGTCGAGAGACAGAGAGAAGGAGGGGAGTTGACAGTGCGGCGCTCATTCCACATATGCGCACTGCCGGCCGGGACAAGTCGACTGCTAAGCAACAGGCAGCGCGGCAAAAACACCCTGCGGGCCGGATAAATGTTTTCGGCGGGCCTCATGTGGCCCGCGGGCCGTAATTTGAGGACCCCTAGCATAGTCTAACCACGTGCTGAGTGTATGTGAGCGCACACAATGCACACCTCCTGCACGGGAATCCTGCGTAAGAAAAGATTACTCCTTCAAGAATGGTACTTATTGGGCCGGATGACAAGATGAAGGAGAAGAATTATAGTAAGCTGAAGCAGAGAACAATTCAAAGAACGATAATTTGGCGCAAGAGAAACTAAGTTTTCCTGGGGAAGCAGGCACACAGGGCAGCAGCAGTCCTTTTACAGTATTAGAGAAACAAGTCTGTCGCCTCACTTAAGGTCACTAAGGTCTTGTCGGAAACAAACCAACAAAAAAAGTGAAGTGCCAGGGAATAAAGGTTGCTGAGAAGGCAAGTGGGAAGAGGAAAGAAGGAGAGAAGGTGGGAGGAAGAAGAGAGGGAGGTGATGGCTAGGAGAGGATGGACGAAAACCTCCTTTCCAAGTGGAACACGTGTGAAGCGATTGAATGGAAGGGACTGGGGTGGAAACGGATTCGACAAATGGGCAGAAATTTCGGTTCTTCAAAAAAAAAAATATATATCGGCCTGAAAAGCAAAGCCCGTGGGGGCAAAGAGGTAAGGAGGAGGCGCTGGTAATCGCTTTCTTCTGGAGTGGGCGGGCCCGAGGAGGAGGCTAGAGACGCAGGGACGGTGAATTCCGTCGTGGGGGGCACTATTTTGATGGGTAGCAGAGGGCAAAGTGGCAGCCTTTCGGTATGGGGAAGCGAGAGGAGCCGCGGGGCGGCGGCTGAGGGTCTCAGGCGGGGAAGGACTTCAGGGAGGGCGGACCGGCGGCGGCGTGCTCCGGACAGAGCGGCGAGTGAGGAGCCGCGGGGCGCGCTCTCCGGGGCGGGGGCGGGGCAGAGCGGCCGCGGGCTTTCCCGGCAGCGGGCGTGAAGCCGAACAACCCCGACTAACCTGGCCTGCTGGGTCCCGCCTTCTCGCTGGCCCCGACCTGTCTTCGCGATCTCTCCGTCCTCTAGGTCGCTGTCTCGGCCTCCCGGCGCCTGCCCGCAGGTTGTCAAGCGTCCATGATCGACCCGGCGTCCGACGCTTTTCTACCTCCGCCGACCCGTCGCCCTTACCGCTCCCCCGGAAGCCTCCCGCTACTGCACTCGAGTTCCGCCCACACTAGGTTCTCCTCGCTGGGGAAGGGGTCCTTGTGGGTCTGTAGCCCAGGAATCGGGTGGGCGGTCGCCAACCGGGGGTCCGCGAGGTCCGAAAGGTTGACGACCGCTCGGGCGGTCCTGGGGCCCAAACTATCACCATCACCATTTCCTGGGTCTGAAACCCACCCCTTTGGTGGAGCTTTACCCCCAGGAGCTCCCTATGGCGACTGCGGCTACCCTGGCGTATGGAGACATATTAAGCCTAATAACTGTTTATTAATCGTCTTTCCATGTGCTAAGTGCTGTACATTGTCTTGTTGAATTTTCATAACTTTATGGCCTACAATAGTATCCCCATTTTTCAGGTGAATTAACTAAGCCTAAAAATCCAAAAGCCAGTAAGTAGCAAAGTCTGCTTTGGCACCTAGGCTATCTGAAGCCAAAGACCATGTTCCTGACATCTATTCAGAAAAATGTTTTAAATAAGCAAGAGCTGGACTGAGTCAACAATGCCTCTGTGACCAAAATGACATTCATGGCTGCATTTGGGACTTACCAACTCCACTGGAAGATGGCTACATAACTGAATACTTAGGCTGATTCCTTTAAAGTACAGTATACACCTCAGGCTTTCAGGTCTTTTTTTTTTTTTTTGAGAATATGTTTATTAAAGCTGGGAACAGTGAAACAAGGAAGGGCCTGCCTAGGATAAAAGAAACAACAGGAGAGAGCCTACGTGGGCCTGCTCTGGCTCTCTAGAAATGTTATGGGAAAGAGGTGAGCCAAGGCGGGGCTGCTGTCAGCTCACTGAAAAGTCAGAAAAACATGGGGCCTTGGAGACAGCAATGCTGCTGCCCATTGCTCCACTGGTTGCAAATCTTGTGGGGAGCCTTAGAGCTTAGGAGAAAGAAAATTCATTCGAAAAGGAGATTCAAGTGGTGTACCCCAAGGAGGATTCTCCGACTTTCAGGTCTTGAAGATGAGGAAAAGACCTCTATTTGCCCTTTGTGCTTTATAGAGTGCAGAAATCAGGACAGATGTGAAGGAGCCTAACACCAACCCATTCATGTATTCAAAAAAATTCTTTAGCACCTATTACTTTCTAGAATGTTATATGAAGAAAAAACAAGGTTCTTGCCCTCAAAAGCTTCAATGTGTTAAGTGCTATGAGAGACAACACTTTGGAAGCACAGGAGAGTATGTTGAGGAGGAAGAAAAAAAAACAGGCATCTTCAAGGCAAAAATGGGAAGAAAAGGGGGCAGTGATCACAGTTACAGGCTTGCACTGTGCAACATATATTGATGCAGAAAAGAAACCCAGAACAGCTGGAACCAAGGTTTCAGAAATTAGGGAGACAGAGCTGGAATCAGGTCATCCAGGGTCTTGGAAACCACAGGCCTGGCACCATACCCAGTAAATACCTAAATACAGCAAAGTATCTACCTGTGAGAGCTTACTGTCCCCTGGAAGAGACAGGCCTATCTGACTATGATAGATGGTTGCCACAGGCACCTAGGAATACAGGCAAGGCTCTCCTTGGGGAGAGGAGATCTAAGGCACACTTCTGGGGAAGATGAGGCTTGAGTTGAGCCTGGAAGAATAAGCAAGCAAATCAAAAAGGGTGAAAACCATATAAAAGAGGTTTTATTTGCTCTTAAGGGCACTTGGGGGGCTAGCTTGGGGTTTTAAGCTGTAGAGAGCTATGAATAATTGCCATTTTAGAATGATCACACCAGCTGCTCTAGGAATGGATTGGATGTGGAGAGAACTGGAGCAGGGAAACCCTTGAGTGACTTGATGTATTCCAGATAAGAGACTGTGAGATCTTGAAGAAAGGTAGTGGCAGTTGGGCATGTAAAAGAAGGGATGTTGTTAGAGACATTTAGACCATAGGTGCTACCATAAATATTCCAGCAGTGCCTCCACTTCCTCCAGGACAATGTGCAGACTCCAAGGCTGCAGCTAAAGCCTTTTGCACTATGCCTCCTGCCTACCCTCCCATCTTTGTCTTGCCTCACCCTCTTTACAGCCCAAACTCCAGGCCTTGCCTTGCCCACCACAAACTACACCCTCACTCACAGCAGGGCCTGGAGCTAGCTCTATCTTCTTTGCAAATGTCTCCCCTCATAATTCCCTGCTAAAATCCCACCAACAATACCCTGAACTCCAAGATGACGTCACTAGTACCACTGAAGGAGGAGAAACTCATGGATGTCAAAATGGGAGCTGCCAACCTGAATACTGATGCGGGATTTCACCCCTAAAGGCACTGCTGAAGCATTTCAAAGAGGTTTCTACTGGTATTACAACAAGTATACCAATGTCAAGAAAGGGAGCATCGATGGGGTTTCTATGGTGCTGGCAGCTTCTGTGTGTTTTAACTACCGCCATTCGTATAAGGAACTCAAACATGAGCTGTGACTGAAGAGCACCACTGAAGAGGGCCCAATGTGGACTCCACATTCCTGACCATGATCTTTGTCCAGCACCTGTGAATCCTTTCATATTGTACTTAATAAAAGATGACTGGTTAAAAAAAAGTTTTTAAAATAGAATCCTACCAACCCTGTACACAAAGATTTCTTAAACTTTATGTAAAAAGCATTAATTGTAAAAGAAAACACAACTATTGCACTAGAACTAAGAATTTCTGTGTATCAAAATACACCAGTAAGGAGAGTGAAAGGACACGCTACAAACTTGGAAAAGATATTTGCAAGCATATATAATTCCATATCCAGGCTATAAAAAGAACTATAAATCAATAAGAAGACAAACAATAAAAAAAAAAAGACAAACAGCCCAGTAAAAATAAATAAATAAAAGATTTGAACAAGTATTTCACAAAAGAAGACATCCAAATAGCCAATAAGCACATGGGAAGGCCCTCAACACCAGAGACATTGTAAATAAGAACTATATGTTATGAGATGCCACATTTAACCAAACTGGCTAAAAATAAAAGACTGGCAGCACCCAGTATTGACAAGGTTAAAAGTGAACTAGAACTCTTACATTGCTGGTGAAGGTGGAAACTGCTACAAACACTTGCATAACTAGCAATATCTACTATTGCTGATCAACATAGCCAGCAACTCCTCTCCTGTAAATGAATACATGAGTCCACAAAAAGAAACATAAGAATGCTCATTGCAATTCCTGGCCCAGTAGCTCAGTTGGTTAGAGCGTTGACCTGATATGCCAAGGTTTTGGGTTCGATCCCCGGTCAGGGCATATACAAGAATCAACCTATGAATTTGTGAATGGGTGGAACAACAAATTAATATTTCTCTCTCTCTCCCTTCCTCTCTCTCTCAAAATCAATTTTTTAAAATTGATTTCAGAAAAGAAGAGAGAGATAGAAACATCAATGATGAGAGAATCATCCATCGGCTGCCTCCTGCACATTCCCTACTGGGGATCGAGCCTGCAACCTGAGCATGTGCCCTTGACCAGAATTGAACCCGGGACCCTTCAGTCCATAGGCCGATGCTCTATCCACTGAGCCAAACCAGCTAGGGCTAAAATCAATTTTTTAAAAAAAGAATCAACCAATGATTGCATAAATAAGTGGAAGAACAAATCAATGGATCTTTCTCTCTTGCTCTTTCTAAAAAAAATCAACCAATTAAAAAAATTATAATAAAGATTGCTCATTTCAGCTTTGTTAATAAAAGCCAAAAGTTGATAACTAATAACCTAAATGTCCATCAACAGTGCTATATGCATACAATGGAATACTATTCAGCAATTTTTTTTTAAAAAGCTACTGCTACATACACATGAATGTCACAAAAATATTGATGAATGAAAGAAGACATTCATATTGTACATATTGTATAATTACATTTAAATGAAACTCAAGAACAGATAAAACTGATCTATGGTAATAGAAGTCAGAAGAGTGGTTATTGGGATGGAAAGATGCAGTACTGACTGTAAAGGGGCACAACGGGTCCTGGAATAATTCTATACCTTGATTTGGGGGGTGGTGACACAGGTGTACACATATGCAAAAACTGTGCCCTTACTGAATGTTAAAAAATCTAAAGAAAATTTTTTAACCAAGCAAAAAAAGATTCTACTTATCCTTCACATTCAAATGCCACCACCTCTATCAAGTTTTGCCAGCTAGAATACATCTCTTCATGACAGCCTCTGTAGCATTCTGATGTCCTTTCTTTTATGCCATTTATCATGCTCCATCTCAAATCTCAGTGGAGTCTCCTCATTTCCCTAACTAGATTATTATCTTCCTGTGGCAGTAACCATGTCTTTCACCTTTTACTGACAGAGGGCCTGGTAAATAAGGAAAGCTGAGAAAACTGTTTGTTGAATTACATGGAAGGAAAAATTGGGTGGGTACCCATATGGGTTAAAGGGGAACAAAAAGAGGAAGGCCTAGAAAAAGAAATAAATCTCCAAGGAAACCTTAACTTACACTACAACTATTCCTGAAATCTCATTAAATGTCACCTTGAGCAACAAAGAATGAATCAAAATACCAAGTCCTACCTAGACTGAAGATGAACAAACATCACACTTACAGGAAATCCACCAAATAAATGCTTACCTAACCTCTGGGTGGTTTCAACCTGTATGAGGAAATTTCACCAAGGAGAATAATAATCACATAGCCATGCTGCTAAAAATATCGCCAGCCTGGTGTGCAAAAAGCTCAGACAGCGGGTCAGGAGACTTAGGGCCTAATTCTAACTCTACCCCAACTTGCTGTGACCGGTGGACAATCTCTTCGCTTCTGTGGGCCTCGGTTTCCTCATTTGTAAAACAACAGGGGTCGGATTAGCAAATTCTCTGAAGTCCTTTCCTGTATTTATATTCTGGGTATACAATCACTCTCTCCCAGTCCAACGCAGGAACACAATAGAAACCCCCGCAAAACACGTAAAAGGCGCTCCAGACCATAAAACCAACATGATTTTAAGGAGTTATTTTGTTACATTATCTTTCACGGTTTAATCAGTGTTTTTGTTTGTTTGCAGCCTTACCATGATTTGCAGGAGATTTCTGAGTTCCATGTAAACAGGAGTTACCTCTCTGTGGGCTGTCATCTTCTTTTAGAGTGAAGAGGGTCTTCCCGCCTGGTCCCAACTCTCGAGATTCAAAAACCACCAAACCTGAGAGAGGGTTTATGAATTTGCGCACACTGCGCGGCACACTGAAGTCTAAGTTACAGGGGAATAGGGTTTATGGAATGCTGGGATTTGTAGTCCCTGGGCCTCTTTGCGCGCCGGGACCTATGGTTCCCCTGTGCGCCCCTGGAATGCTGGGAAATGTAGTCTTTGGTTCATCGCACAGTGCAGCCTGCCGTCATCTCAGCACCCAGCGGCGGGAGCGAGCCCTTCGAGCCTCTGCAGATCTGAAGCCAAACCTCCGGGGAGCAAACTCTAGGCAACAAGAACGAATGAAAAATTTGCCCTACGGGACTTCCCGGGGAGGGCCCTTCCCATCGACGCTCTTCAACCCCCCCACCCCCCCGCGAAGCCGCTACGTGTTTCTATTGGATGAGCATAATGCCAATCGCCGAGACGGGCTTTCTATTGGCTCTTGGGCGGGCACTCCAAGGCTAGGGGGAAGGAGAAGGGATCAGGAGCGGGAGCTGAGGGGAGGGAGAGGCCGGTCCTGGTCTGGCAGCCGCCTCTGCTCGCCGGAGGTCTCCAGGCGGGGCTGCGGCTCAGTCCTCGGCTCCGGGGCACCGTCTGCGAGGCTCCGCCGGGCCAGCGTGGGAGAGCCGCGGGCGGCAGCTGCCGCATCATGTCAGCCAAGGACGAGCGTGCCCGGGAGATCCTGAGGGGCTTCAAACTGTATCCGCCCGGGAGCGGGGCGGGGTCGGGAGGACTTGGGAGGCGGCCGCTCGCTGAGGAGACGGGCCAGGGAAGGGGGCCGCGCCAGGTGGGCACCACGAGAGTGGAGGCGGGGGAGAGGAAAGGAAAGGCTTCCCGCGCCCCCGACGGACCGGGCGCTGGAGGTGGGGAAGGGGGCGTCCTGAGAGAGGACAGGGACGTTGACTGGAGCCCCGCGGGGGTGGAGGCGAAGGCGCCCTGGAATTGGGCTGGGAAAGGCGCCGGACGCCGGGAACGGGTGTCGGGGAGGCCGGCGTGGGTCCGAGCTCCAGCCCGCGCCCAGAGGCCGCGAAGGGGCTCGGCTCCCCGGGAAGGGCCGAGCGGGCGCGGTGGTCTGGCCTGGAAGCCCAGGAGTAGCCTCTTTGGCGGGAAGCCCCTCGGGGGAGCAGGGAAAAGTGACTTGGAGCGACGGTCCTTGTGTGGGACAAATGCAAACGCGTGTGTTAAACTCTCGGGTTCCCCCCTCCCACACCACCCCCGTCTTGTTTCCACAACTTCTCTTCCTCACTTGTGGCTCCGCGGGGCTGGAGCAGAGGAAGGGGGGGAAGAGAGGTCCTGCATCACCCTCATCTTAACTCTGTCTTGGCCTCTGAGGCGTTGGGCTGTGCTGCTTCTCCCTCAGCTCCTCAGCTTTCTTTCCAACAAAATGAGAGCCATGGGCTTGTGCGTGAGATGCCTTGAAGTGTTTTGGTTTTGCACTGGGACTCCTGGCGAAGGTGTCTTCGCTCGGGTAGACAAGGTGGAGCTGTCCAGCAATTACTTGATTACGCTGGGCACACAGTAGGATAGACCGCAGTCGGGTATAGAAATCATTGCCTAGGGCCTGTTGCGGTACCGCTTGTGCAACCTCTCCTTAATGCAGGGAGGAAGCTTTATGTTTTAATGGAGTGTTAAGTGTGTAACCATGTAATACAGGTGAAAAATATGCAATCTTGTACAGTCCAATTTTATATTTTCCTGCTGACCTTAATCTCTTCTTACCACGTATGCATACAATATGGAACATTCTTAAATTCCTCTCTCAGTGAAAACGTGGTCACCACTTTAGGGGTCCTCCCCTGAGGTTTAGGAAGCCACTGTTTTCTGAGCCATGTGTCTTCACAATGCCCATTTCAACCCTGCAAATTTTAATGGCTTTGTCACAATCAGAAACCAAGTTGTTAGTAAATTTTAGCACACAAATGCAAAAGTTACAAGACATTTTGAATGTACAAATGAAATTTTCCGAATGGAAAGCTAATCTGCTGTGCTTGTTTAAAACACACACACACACACACACACACACACACAAAAAAAAAAACGGAAGTCGTCACCTTTGCATACTGCCATTTCAGTAGTTTTATATAGCTCCATGTACTTACCATGTTTCTCTTCATAATGGCACCTGTAAGTAGAATAGGATGGCTGAAGTGTTAGAAGAGCTATGGCATGGATTTTGTTTTTCCCTTAAGTAATTTATATTGTTACTTAACATGTATACTGTAGACAGTAAGCCAGAGACTGGAGAATTGTGATATTTCAGAAGCAATATTTTGTCAGCTTGGAATTAACATATTGCTGAAAACAAGGAGGGGTCTTGTTAATAGCTTTTGAACAGAGCAGAAAGGGAAAGTTTGAGCTTTTCACCTTCAGTCTTGGTTCTTGGACCTGTTGAGACAGAAGCTAAGGGACAAATATGGAAAACAGTAGAAAGCAGAACCTCTGTCAGCCCAATAGAAGGGAAGGTGAATTAACCAAGTCAGTAATGACATTAGTGGGTCAAGAAACACATCTTCAAGGCATTTGATATAGGTTGATTAAATTACAAGGGGAGCAGCCACACTAAAAAAAAAGTTAGCTTGGGAGCAATGGAATGCTCATCCTCTGGTAGCTTTTTTTGGCATCTGAGAATTAAGAGAGAAAAGGAGCCCTGGTCGGTGTTGTTCAGTGGTTGGAGCATTGGCCCCCCTCACACTGAGGGGTCTCCGGTTTGATTCCCAGTCAAGGGTGTGTACCTGAGTTGCCATCTGGTCCCCCACCCTGGTCAGGGCAAGTTCAGGAGGCAACCAATTGGTGTGAGAAAGAAAGACACATCACATTGATGTGTGTGTGCCTCTGTCTCCTCCTCCCTCCCTTCCGCTCTTCTAAAAAATCAATAGAAAAAGTATATCCTCTGGTGAGGATTAACAAAAGGAAAGAGAGAGAGAGAGAGAGAGAGAGAGAAAGGAGTTCTAGGATTTGATACTACCTTCAGGGAAAATAAATTTTTTTTATTAAGAAACTACCTGACTGTTGTCAACCTTTTATTGAGTAAATTTTTTCTGAACTTTCTTTTAGAGTGTCTATTTCTATAAAAAGTTTTTTTAATTACCATGATATTCTCCTACCACATTGACTATGTTGGTTTTTAAAATTTTGGGGCCAGTTTGGACAACAAATTATGTCTTCTTTTAGTTTATATTTCCCTCGATCACTAGATCCCTAGAGAGGTGATACTGGACTGTAGAGCTATGCTGCCTGCATTGGAATCCCAGCTCTGCATTCCTGGTTTTGTGTCCTTGAGCAACTTCTTTAACTGCTGCCTCAATTTCCTCATCTGTAAGTGGGGATAAAAATAGTACCTATCTCATAGGGTTGTTGTGACCCTAGACCCGTGGTGGGCAAACTGCGGCTCGTGAGCCACATGCGGCTCTTTGGCCCCTTGAGTGTGGCTCTTCCTAAGCCTTAGGAGTACCCTAATTAAGTTAATAACAATGTACCTACCTATATAGTTTAAGTTTAAAAAATTTGACTCTCAAAAGAAATTTCAGTTGTTTTACTGTTGATATTTGGCTCTGTTGACTAATGAGTTTGCCGACCACTACCCTAGACAGAGCACCCAAACTATGAAACTCACTATGCATAGCATTTCCTCTGAGAGTTGTTATGAGGATTAAATGAGACTGCATATAAAATGCTTAGTACAGTGCCTGGCACATATTAAGTAATAAATGTTAAGTGCTGTTATTATTTGTTTTATTAATTATTATTAATAATAGCAGTAAAGATAATGTTGCTATAAAGCCATTTATTTTTCTGAGATATAACCAATGTCTTCATGCTGTTATTCTCTTTTCTTACTGAGAAAAATATAATATTTTTGATTTGCCTCTTAGAAAAAATGATTTAATTAATAAGCATTTATGTATACCTAGTGCTTATCTTGTTTTCTAGGAATTAATTACATTCCAATTTATGGCCAAAAGAGAACTAGTTTATTTTTTAATATGTTTTTATTGATAATCAGAGAAAGGAAGGGAGAGGAAGAGAGAGATAGAAACATCAGTGATGAGAGGGAATCATTGATCAGCTGCCTCTACACACCCCCTACTTGGGATCGAGCCTGCAACTCCGGCATGTGTCCTCACTGGGAATCGAACCATGACCTCCTGGCTCATGGGTCAATATTCAACCACTGAGCCAACCAGCCAGGCCAAAAGAGAACTAGTTTGCCTCAGAAGGTTTATAAAAACACCTTTTACTTGTGTTCTTGCATTTCCTCTCTATAGTTTAGTCCTGGGTCCCCCATATCCTCTTTGTTGTAGCACCTTGATCTTTGATTTTACTTCCAGTCAAAAATAGTTTGCTTTACATCTTCTATTCACTTAGTTTTCCTTACTAAGAATAGTCAAACTTTTTTTTAATGTCAGTATTGCCTAAGAGAGGAAGGGAGAGAGAGATAGAGAGTTAGAAACATCGATGAGAGAGAAACATCGACCAGCTGCCTCCTGCACATCTCCTACTGGGGATGTGCCCGCAACCCAGGTACATGCCCTTGACCGGAATCGAACCTGGGACCTTTCAGTCCACAGACCGACGCTCTATCCACTGAGCCAAACCGGTTTCGGCTCAAACTTTTTTTTTAATGTCAGTATTGCCTAATAGATGCCTTGGCTAAGTGTTAAAAATGAGTTTGAGATTTATGCTTTCCTAAAATATAGTTTGTGACTATCAACCCCAGTTCTGGTAAAGCAACCAAAGCACCACTCATATATCCAATGAACACTGTTGATCACAGATTGTCCAGTCATGGACTTCATGTAGATTGTGATTGGTAGTGTGTTTTCCAAGACACTCATGCATGGACTCTGAGAGGTTGTTACTATTATCCTGAATGGATTAAGAAGTGAATATAATGTCCTGTTGATTATGTTATTTTGCATTATTTGGGAGGAATTTAGAGTATAATTAGATACTTATAGTCTTCTTCAAACCTAAATTTCTTTCCAGGATTGCGAATATGGTTTATAGTGAAACATTTTAGTGACTTCTGGAGAAATGGACTAGAACATGGTAAGACTCTCATGGAAA